TTTATAAATTTGCATTATATGGAGCATTTCACGCCAAATCGACCAAACTTACTTTAATTTACTATCCAACTAAAAACGTTTTTGTGAATTTTTATTTTTTTTACAAGAAAAACTAAGTTATTTTGCGAGAAATTTCCCAAATCTATTTATATTTTTTATATTTATTTAGACTTATTTTAAAATTAAAACAAAAAATGCCATAATGCTTGAATTAGCTTTAATCTTATGATGCTCTGGCTATAAAGACCATGGCCCTGGCAGCAGAAACACTAGCCACGGCCCTGTATTTACAATGGCGGATGAAGAAGTTCTCACTGCTGTAACCTCCACTGCTTTAGCTGCTAGAAGTTTCTTAAAAGGATGTTAAACGGTAAAACTTAGAATTTGAAATTTCTTCTTTACATGAATGGGCGCCCTTACCTAGGGGCAAGAGGGGGCACTTGCCCCCCCTGGAAATCTCCAACCCAACTAATTTTAACAGCGAAATATTTTGGTAATATTACGATGTTATTAAAAAATTAACATATTAACATATTTAATTTAGGTATTAACATTATTTTATGTAATGCAAATATAACCTAAAAGAACTATTTCTACATAATATTGGCAACATTACATTTATCTGAATCGGATAATCTGACAACCATGGACATAAAATCGTGGTGCGCACCAAAATCCATCCTGGTGCGCATTAAACAGCTGTCATGACAAGTTGTGTAAGGGGGCCGAGGATGGCGCAGTGCGTTAAAGCTACAGAGCGGTAATCAATCTGCGCCACGGTACCGGGTTCGATTCCCGGTCACAGCCTTGGGTGTTGTGGTTGTTTTTAAGAACCAAAAAATTTATAATAATGAGCTGGCTAAAAAAGTTGTGTAAGTTGTGTAACTTGTTATTGTTATTTATAGTTATAGACTTCTAGTTCAGCATATTTCAGGTAAGTGCAAGTAGGTTTACTACAATTTATTATATTTAAGAGGGTCTTAATAAGGGGATTTTTTATTTTAATAATTTTACATACCGTACCTTCATTTGCAAGCTATAAATAGGGAAAATACATTGTAGGTGGAACAGTCGAAGTCGGCGCGGTCAGCGCGAAACGAAAATGTTCCCGACGAGAGGATGAGTAGACTAACATGCCACGTAACAGGTAACCTTGTTTACTGGTGATTACAATTTTATTACGTCCAAATAATTTCTGAGAACTTTTTCGCTTTGCGCTGACTTCGACTGGTCTGGTCCACCTACAATGTATTTTCCCTATGTATTATATAGTTTGCAAATGATGGTACGGTATAAAAAAAGATTATAATCTTATATAAATATATATTTTAAATTTAAGTTTTTTTATAAGGCATTGCATTTTTAAAAGCATTCCAAATAAAATAAATATTTAAAATCAGTGGGTTCGAAATAATATAAATGGAAATAATTTTACTGTTTCCTTCTCTCTAAACTTTAGTAACAAAAATTAACCCTTGAATACAATACATTGCACTTGGCTTTGGTTCCATGGAACCAAAGCCAAGGTTAATATAATTGTGCACAATTATACTTAAAAGATTTAATTAAAAAAATTTTCTTGCAACTTGTACCGTTTGTCTTAATATAAACTAGGTATTTAAATTGTATTTTTTATTATAGTATATTATGGACATACGCAAGTTTTTAAGTAAAAAATCGCTTGAAACTGAAAGTTTATGTAGTGAAAATCCTCCTGAAAAAAAATTAAAACTTGATAATACCACAGACCATACCCTTTTTCAAACGTTCGCCTCTTCAAGTACTAATATAGATGAAAAAAATGATTTAGGCAACTATTTAGAATTATCACATATTTCTGATTCACTAAAATATAGTCTTCTTAAAAGTCCATTTGTCCCATTTGAAAACTACGATTTTAAAAAGGATACAGAAAACAAAAGGTGTTTTAGAAGAGAATGGTTAGAAAGCTATGAATGGATGGTATATTCCAAAAAATTAAAAGGCCCACTTTGTAAATATTGCGTTATTTTTAAACCACCTGTAAAAAGAGGCTATCAGGGTGCTTTTATTGTTAGTACTTTCAAAAATTACAAGAAATTGCATGAATTTGCAAAAAAACATGTTCAGTCAGATTGGCACGCCCTTTCAATTTTAAAAGCAACCGAATTTTTGAAAACTTCTAGTGGTCAGCAACCTAGTGTTACTGAATTATTAAATATTGAAGAAAAACGACTAATTGAAGATAACAGAAAAAAGCTTACGTCTATTATTTCTACTATTCTGTTGTGTGGAAAGCGTGATTTGGCTTTAAGAGGAAAAAATAATGATGGAAATTTTGAAGAGCTAATAAATTTCAGAATAGAAAGTGGGGATCAATATTTAGAAAATCATTTGAAAACATGTAAAGGCAAAGCGAAATATACTTCCCACAGAGTTCAAAATTAACTTATTGAATTGTGTGCAGAGGTTATTCGCCAGAATATAATACGTGAAGCTAATGGAAGTTTAGGTTTTTCCATATTAGCCGATGAAACGAGCGACATTGCTGGTAAAGAGCAACTCTCTATCGGCATTAGATATTTAGACACAAATAATATAGTTAAAGAACAGTTTTTGGGGTTTAGTGAATTAACGGCAATGGATGCTCGAAGTATTTCAAGTTCAATTTTAAAATCTTTAAAAGGGTTTAATTTAAATTTAAACAAACTAGTAGGGTTGGGGTTTGATGGGTGTTCAACAATGGCTGGAAAGGACAACGGGGTACAAAAACTAATAAGAAATGTATATCCCAAAGCAACATTTTTTCATTGTTCTTGTAGTACAAAATTCCATTGGCATTATTAAAGAAGCCATCGTTTTTTTCAAAGAAAGCCCAAAAAGACGAAGTTTAATCCCAAATATACCCTTATTTTGTGAGACCAGATGGTCAGCAAAATATAAATCTATTAGAATTTTTCACGAACAGTTTGCTACTGTTATAACAGCTTTGGAAAATATTTCATTAGATAACAAATTCAATGGCAATACTAAGTCCAAAGCACATCAAATTGTATGTTCCCTTTCCTCTCCACAATTTATTGTCTGTCTTAATGTAATTTCTAAATATTCATCGTTGCTGGAATCCGTGACAAACAAATTGCAAGCTATCGTAATTGATTTACTTTCGGTAAAAAATCAAGTTGACCTTTTAATAGATATGTTCGAAAAAGATAGACAAGATGCAGATTCTGTATTTTCCACAATGTTTAAAGAATGTCAGGAAATAGCAAAGGATATTAATGTCGAAATAAAGGTTCCTCGAATAGTCGGTCGTCAAATCCATCGAAGCAATATTCAAAGTCGATCTGCAGAGGAATATTTTAAAGTATCATTATTTATACCCTATTTGGATTCAATAATAAGTTCTCTTAAATGTAGATTTGCAATGGATACAACTTTGGCTTTTTCATTATCATGGTTTCATCCAAGTATTATAAAAGAAGGTAAAATTTTTACTAATGATCAATTGCAAAATATATCAGAAAAATTTGGGGTCGAAAATTTAAAAGCTGAATATAGAACCTGGCAAAAAGTTTGGGAAAATAGAAAATATACAGAAGATATTGGTAAACTTTTAAATGAAGAATGCGATTTTTTTCCCAACATTAAAATGTGTTTTCAATATTTTTTGGTTTTGCCACCTACGACCTGTTCAATTGAGAGGTCTTTTAGCACTCTTAGAAGGGTTAAGACCTGGCTTAGGTCAACAATAGGAGAAAGTCGTCTTTCTGGGCTTTGTCTAATAAGTTTGCATCGGGATTACGTAAATCAAAATCAAGTTGCTATAATTAAAAAGGTAATTGATATGTTTGCTGCAAATAAAAGAAACTTAAAATTTCTGTTTGATGAGTAGATGTTTTAGTTTTGTTTTGTTGATTTCTTAATAAATATTATATGGTAGTAAAAGCTGTTTTATTAAGTGAGTTTATGTGCAAAAAAGTGTTTTTTTCCAAAATGTAGCTGGGTACCTATTTGTTCCTTTACCCTTCGATTTAATTATGATAGGTAAGGTTTTTGTGTGTAAATTATATTTATTTTTTTATATATTTTATAACGTATAATGTATTAATATATTTTGGAACCAAGGTATTTTTTTGCTACTTATTAAATTATTTGTTTGCCCCCCCCTGGAAAATTTTGTATGGGCGCCCATGTTTACATGCATGGTTGCATTCAATGGAATGGATTTTATCCTTGGCATATAATTTGCCATTTAAAAAATGGGCAGCATCATTACCAGAAGATAAACGATAAAAAGAATAAAGACAGGGATAAATTTAATCTCAATTTAAGGAACAAACTATTGTAATACAGTCAGAATTTTTTTAGTAATTATTCTACTACTGCCCAAATTACTGAAATGAATACTGGGATAAATGATTGACAAATTTGTAATACCTATCATTATATATATTTACATTTTTATATTTATATGTTTCAAATAGGCTGCATAAATTTATAATTAGGTGAACTAGAATTTTTTTAGTAATTATTCTACTACTGCCCAAATTACTGAAATGAATACTGGGATAAATGATTGACAAATTTGTAATACCTATCATTATATATATTTACATGTTTATATTTATATGTTTCAAATAGGCTGCATAAATTTATAATTAGGTGAACTAAAATTTTGTTGACAAAAAATACCCACGTTTACCCAAATTCAAAACTGATAGTTTAATTATCTTGGTTAAGCAAAACCGGATGGCATGGGTAAGATGCGTTTAACTTTGCGTATGCATTTGCGTGAGCAAAGTGATATTTTTTAATCTTATAGAAGGTTTATAAGTTTTTTTTATAGTTTTTTGTGTTAAATTAAATACAAAATATTATACAGGTCTAACACATGCGCAAAGTGCTTTTTCCACACTTGATTGCTTGCCCAAACTCCGCATTTGGTCGCGTGCGGAGAAAAATAACTTTGCACACTTGTTAGGAAAATATTTATTATTTCTAAATATCTGGAGACTTACGTGCGTGAGCATTTTCTTCTGGCATTAACTGGCATACTAGGTAGATTCAAGCATGGTTTACTTTCGTATTGACATTGTGGTCCCATAAAGTTTTCAGGACAGTTACATTGATTTGGAGATAAACATATGCCATTGTTTTGGCAGACTGGTAAGCAAATTGCTAAAATGTATAAAATAAAATTTATAACATTAATTAATCATTTTTTTACCTACGATTTTACTATGTTACACTATATAATTAATTAAATATTCATCTACAATTTTTAAAAGCTCCATCTTAAGGTGTAGGTAATATATAATTACAAAAAGTTTAAAATCGAGCTACTGAAGTAATAAATCAAGATAGAAATTAAAAGTTTGTAGAAGTAGAAGTTGTATGGTCCCCTTAGGACCAAGCTATGGTATAAAGAAAACAAGGTACCCCGCAAGCACAAACGTTCTTGGATCAGCCCATTGTCAAAGAATGGGATGATCCTATAAGGACCTTTAGAGAACGTCCATAGGTCGACCTTTTATATCATACTTAGGTCCCATTTTGGGATATTCCTACTTAGTTCTCATTTAAGGATGTCGTTAGGACCTAATATAATAATAATAATAATAATAATAATAATAATAATAATAATAATAATAATAATAATATTTATTGGCTGTACATAAAACACATAAACGAATATAAAATATTTGCTAGAATTTACAGCAATAAATATATGTATATACACAAAAATGCAACAATGTGCATTTGTACGTGCAATTCATTACTCTAAGAAATTAAAATATCTACAATTATATAAATAATAAACAGAAAAATAACAATACAAATATTATACATTTATATATATACATATATGGATCATTTGTTCAATTTCAAAAATATTAGTAGTACTAAAATAATAATAATAATAACAACAGAAAGTAGCTCAGTATTTAGCCCTAATTATTTTTTAAATCAATTTGCTCAATCACAGTAGTTCTGGGTAAATTTAACACATATTTTTTACAAAGCTTTTTAAACAATTTTTCTGATTTTTCTTGTTTTATATTTTCTGGCAAAGAGTTGTAAATTTTAGGGCCTAAATATTTACTACATCTTTGGCCTATAGTTTTCTTCATTTTTGGAACATGCAAATGAGTTTGATGTCTTCTATTGGAAATTTTAACTTCTTTTTTTGTAGTTTGTACGTGTATAAGTAGGGTTAGGTAATATAATTTTCGACAGTCTAGTTTTTTAGATATTTTATATACTTCCTCTGATGAGTAGGTTTTTTCTTTGTTATGGATAATTTTTAGGATATATTTTTGTGTTACTTCTAGATCTTCAAGAAATTCTTTATATACTCCGCCCCATCCTAGAATACCATATCTTAACTGGGAATCAACTAGGGCATTATAGACTATATTTAATTGCTCAACATTTAAAACGCCTTTGAGTATTTTAAAATATGGTATTAAACAACGAATTTTTTTATTTATTTGCTCCAAGTGAAGATTCCATTTTAAGTGTTGGTCAATTGTAATTCCTAGGAATTTTATAGCTTTTGTGGATTTGATAGTGAAATTTTGGGTTATTGATGAAAAGTTAAGGGTATTAAAAGATGGTAAGCTATTTTTATATGATCCAAAAGACATAAACAAAGTTTTTTTCAATATTTAGGGTGAGTAAATTATTGTCAAACCAATCTTTGATAAGAACAAAGTCGTTTTCTACACGTTGCTTCAGTTCCTCCCAGTTAGATCCCTCATATGCAATGGTAGTATCGTCTGCAAAGCTAATTATTTTTCCCAGGCTTTTTACTCTAAATAAATTGTTTATATATAATAGAAACAAAAGTGGTCCTAAAATAGTGCCTTGTGGTACGCCATGAATTGTGGTTTTTGGGTCACTTATGTGATTGCCAATTTTAGTATATTGTTGTCTGCCTTTAAGGTAGCTCCCTATTAATTCTAAAAATGTACCTCTAATACCAATGTCTGACAATTTACTCAAAAGTTTTTCGTGACAAACCGTGTCGAAGGCTTTTGCTAGATCAAGGAAGATGCATATGACTGGTCTACTTTTGTCTATTGATTCATAGATATCTTCCATTAAGGATACTATAGCTTGTTGAGTAGATTTACCTTTTTGAAACCCATATTGATTTTCGGAAATTATTTTATATTTATTAATAAAGTTACTAATTCTTTCCTTTACAATAGCCTCAAATATTTTGGTTATATTGGTTATAAGAGAAATAGGCCTATAGTTAACTGGAGCTAGAGTATCTCCCTTTTTTAGAACGGGAACAACAATTGAAGTTTTAAATGCTATGGGGCATATTCCTGTTTCAAAAAATTTGTTTATTAATATAGATAAGGGATATGCAATATTTTGTATTGTGTTTTTTAAGGTATTTGTTGTAATACCATCAATACCAACAGAGTTTTTATTTTTTAATTTATGAATTGCATTTTTTATTTCTTCTACACAAGTTGGTGTCAAGTATAAGGAATTTGGGATTTTAAGCTTATCTTCTTTATAACTATTTGTTGTATTAATATTTTTTGCCATTTTGTCTGCCAAATTTATGTAATAGTCATTAAAAATATTGCATATCCTTTGTTGATCTTTTACGATTATTTTTTCATCGCGTATTTCCTTAATTTGGTTTTTATAAGTTTTACTATTTTTAAATTCATTTATTACCTCCCAAATTTGTTTATTGTTATCGCATGCTTGTATTTTATTTTTATAATAATTATTTTTTGCTTTATTTATGATTTTATTTAGATGTTTTCTGTAGTTTTTGTATTCATTTAATGTGTTAATATTTTGTGTTTTCATATATAATCTATAAAGATTGTCTCTATAGTTAATAGAATTTATAATACCTTGGCTTATCCATACCTTTCTTTTTTTTAATTTTCTTTTTAGTTTTTTAGTTATAGTATTACTTTCGATCTTTTTCTTCATTAGATTAATAAAATTATTTGTTGCCGATTCTACATCATCATTTACTAAAAGTTCATCCCAATTTATATTTAAAAGTTCAATATTTAATTTTTTATAGTTTATTTGTTTAATAACGTTATGATTATTTTGATTAGTTGTTTTATTTTCAAGTATCCACTGAGATAAAATAGTAAAATGGTCTGTTATTTTTGTTCTTACAATAATAGGTATAACATAATCTTCAAAATTCTTTGAAGCTTTCATGAAAATGTATAATAATCATTAGATAATTTAGTTGTTTCTAAAATATTTATGTTTAGATCTCCAGCGAATATACAATTTTTTATCTTTGAAACATTATTTTTAAAATAGATATCTAGATCGTTTATAAAGTTTTCTGTGCAGATAGGGTTTGGGCGGTATATACCTAAGACAGTAATGTTTTCGTTGAAAAATTGTATTTTAGTACTTATAATTTCGCAATCGTTTATTTTATGTATGTTGTATTCAAACTTTAAAGTTTTTTTTATAAACATAATTACCCCGTCATTTTGATTAAAATTACCCTCACTATATATGGTAGTATATCCTTCTAATTTAGTGTAATCTATATTTATTTGCCATGTTTCGGTTAGCACACTCTTCGCTAAATTGTTCCAAAAAGATTTCGAGATTTTCAAAATTTTTAGTAAAACTTCGTATGTTTACGTGTAAAAATTTAAAATTTAGGTTTTTGTTATTAATTTTAAATACTTCATCACATTCATATGCATTCTCCAATACTTCAGTCTTTATTTGCTTCGCATTAAAATCTCTAATGAAAGGATCCATATTTATAAATATACAATTTTGAATAGGTGTAATAAAAATTAAATTTACAAATAATAAAATATATACAGTAAATCGATTTACAAATTAGTATAGACTAAAACTTAAACCTACAATAAAATTTAATTTTTTTAACTATGCACAAATAATAAAATATATACAGTAAATTGACGTACAAAGCAGTATAGAAACAAAAAGAACACTTACATATAAAACTAAAACTTAAACCTACAATACAATTTAATTTTTTAAACTATGCCCAAATAATAAAATATATGCAGTAAATTGACTTACAAATCAGTAAAGAAACAAAAAGAACATTTACATATAAGACTAAAACTTAAACCTACAATACAAATTAAAAATTTTAGAACTATGCACTAAAACTACAAATCAAGTCTATTTGGAAGTTTGTTGCGTTAGTCATCTTGTGGCAATACGAATAGGCTCACTGGTTTCTTGGTTGTGTTTCACCCCTGGCTTAATTTTTTTCGATTCTTGCTGTGTAATGAGATCTTTAGTACAATTTATATCTGCAATTGTGCGTTTTGATCCAGGTTTCTGAGCAGTTCGTTCCTCTTGAATTTTTCCTTTTTCTAGTTCTTCAATGGAATAAAGGGTATTGCCTATCTTTAAACCGTTAAATTTTATCGATGCTTGTTGACCTTTTGCTTCAGCTTCTTTTTTATATTTATATAATAATTTTGTTTGCTTAAGATCTTCAGCGCATTGATCGTTGCTAATTGATATTTTGTGATTTTTTAATTTAAAACAGTTCTTTGTAATAAGGAGTTTTTTGGAAAAAGAGATGAATTCCACTATGACAGGGTTCTCAGTGTTTTTTCCAATTTTATACACGTGATTTATATCTTCTTCCGTTACTTGAACTAATAAAATATCTCTAAATAATTCAAGAACTTTTTCCGTAAGATTTTTGGGAGTTGTGTCCAAAAGTCCAAAAATTACAATATTATTTTTTCTAGTTTTTCTTTCTAGAGATAGTATTTTTTTATTTAAAGTATTGTTTTCAATTTCTAATTCTTCAACTTTTTTTTCGTATTTTAGGACTATATCCTGTATATCTTCCTTCAAGTTCTGAATTTCTTTTTTTAAGTCTTTCTTTATTTCTTCTGTTTCTTTACTTAGATTTTGAGTGATATTCTTGAAGAGTTCTTGCATATATGTTTTTTGCGAGGTGCTAAATTCAGCCATTATTTTATTATTTATATATTTATCTTTAACGTGTATTTTTAACGTGTTTGGTTCGCTTTAGTTTCATAGAATTAAATTTAATTAACAAAAAATAAACGTTTTTTCTTGTTGTTTAGTTACAGTACCATTTAATTTATTAGGTGGGCTATTTATTAATTTGCTTTATATTTTTCCGTGATTTTTTGTTTGCT